ATGTTTCAGAAGCAAAAACAGGCAGTGATATAGGTCTTTCATAAAAGCAAAGTGACATAATGAGAACTTTTGAAAGGTGGGCTTGCCTATAGTTAGATTCTGTTCTATGTGTTTGATTAGTGTAATTTCTCACTCCCAGAGGAGCCCTGGTCCATGGGACACACATATATGGTGTAAATACTTAGTTCTAGGACACTCTAGATGAAGCTGAATGACCAAGTGTGCATCAGGTCAGATGTCATAAACAAGGGTCCAGTTGTGATGCTTTGAAGGGCTTGTAGGGGTTGTTCAGGGAAAGGACATAGGGAGGGAATGTTACAGAGATCATTCAGTGTCATACTCAAACTGGACAATTCAGTAAACATTTCTAAGTCTAGAATTGCATTTAGTGATTTTATAGAGATTAGATATAATTTAATGATTGGTAAAATTAAGAATAAGAATAAGAATAAAAGAATACAAATAAGAAAGGCTTTGGTAGGTTTCATCTTTAAGAGTGGAGGGTGTAACAAACTTTGTTATTTTAGGAATTGACTTTATATTCTTAATTTGTGGGTTTTGTATATCTGTGTCACATATATCTTGCCAAGATTATTTCTTCAGTCATACAATCCCTTTATATCCAAAAAATATATATACACCCTACCTGTATTTTCTTACTCAAGGTCTTAATTTAGTACATGGGCAGTGTCATCAATGAACCTTCAACTTCCTCATTGTACCAAGGATGCAACTCAGCTTTCTCTGAGGGAATAATACTGGGATGGCTAGAATCAAAGGCCTTTCATAAACTCCTGTGCCCAGGATTACCCCTTTCCCTCAGACACTCTATCCTCAAGGAACTTGGAGGGATCAGCCTCATTGAACTCAGTCAGGTCCTCATTCAGTGACTTCTCACTGCTCCAGACATAACCCCTCCCCCTAAGCTCTCTTCAGGGTCTTGCCATGCCTACCTCCCCACCCACTGAGCAGCGCCCACCCCTTGCTCTCTGACCTCCAGCCTCTCTCCTTTTCTGTTATTTCACAACCTCGGATTCCCATACATTCCATGGTCTCTAGACATTTTCCTCCTGACTCTGTTGGGTGGAGATGGGCATCAACTTGAGATCATGGAGAAATTTTGGCAACTCTGAGTGTCTTCTAATAGCAGGACATCATCATCACAAATAGTAATAGAGGATTTTAAATCTACATATTGTGAACCATTTGAAATTACAAACAGTGCAAAGAAGAGTGCAAGGAACCCCTGCACCCATCACCCAACCTCAACAGTCATCAATAGGACTCTTCTTGTTGAATATCCCACATCTCTTTGTCCCACATCCTGCTCCCTTGCTGAATATGAAACAAATCTGACCACAGCATCAGTGGTGTATGGGGGTCACTGGCATATGAACTTCACTAGTATAAGCTTGGGCATGTTACCTACACATTTAATATTCCAAAACTCTTGTCCATTAAAGCAATGGATTCCGACTACTCTCAAATAAATTTATGTGTGCTGTAATCCCCCAAGTGGTGAGCTAAGCAAACTATTGTCCTGATTGAAACAGTGAAGAAAGAGCAAGGCAACTAAGTTTTGTTACTTTGCCACTTTGATTACTGAGGGAGAATGTTGAGGCAGCGGTACAAACTCTCATCTTTTAGTTGAAACAAGTACAGATTTTATGATAATGCAGCTGTAAAACTTTAAAAAAAGGGATTAATGTTTCAAATGGATTTTGAAATGAAATGAAAACACTCTGGCTATATTCTTGCAGTCTATATTCCTGCAGTCTATGGTTGGGGCATATTTTATTTTGAAACTTAGTTTGCAATTAAGAAAGGTCTCAGAAGGGACAAGGAGATTTATTTTATCTTTTTAAAATTTTTAATGTTTATTTATTTTTTGAGAGAGACAGGGAGAGACACAGACTGTGAGTGGGGGAGAAGCAGAGAGAGAAGGAGACACAGAATTGGAAGTAAGCTCCAGGCTCAGCACAGAGCCCAATGTGGGACACATACACTGGAACCGTGAGACCATGACTTGAACTGAAGTTGGAGCATGTTTGACTGAGCCACTCAGGTGCCCACTCAGATTTATGTTTTGATCCACAGTGCTGAAATTTCCAGTAAAAAAAAAAAAAACTTCTAGTTTTTACACAAAATAAGCAACTTCCAAGAGGATGGTAGCATCAGAATTGTCTTACTAACACTGATACATTGCTGGACTCTGAAAATGATGAAATACAAAGTTTAAGAAAAAATTTGTACCTGTCACTTTACAGAGGTATCAGTGCTAGTTACATGGTTAATCCAATGATGTCATTTTATTTCAAAAGCTGTGTACAAGAAAATTGGTCTCAGACAATGGGACTTAATGCTGGTTCCTGGCTGGCTGACACTGCTCTCTAATCAAACTGTATTCTTACAGTGGATACATGTTTACTTTTATAGTTGGGCTTCTCAGGTAGATACACTAGGCCCAGCCTGGGAGCCATGATAAGCATTGGGCCTCTCTCTATCACATGCGCCCGCACACCACGCGAGCACTCACACACACACTACCCTTCCAAGGCAATGTTCTGATAGTCTACACGGCATCTGCATCATGTTCTATCCCTCCTTTACTGTTGGAAATGTGTTGTCTGTTCTGCCTAAATATAATTGTTTTCTTGTTAGGGTCATAAACATTTTTACATAAGAACGGAGACACATAGAGGGTGGCACTATTTTGAACCAGAATCTGCAGGGCTTTTGTTCTATGGTCATTATAGGCTAAGTTACTAACTGCCTCAATAAAAGTGTCACAACTTGGAACCTATGGGCCTGAGGATTTTTGTCTCACTTCCCCTTCTATGTCTACTACTGTGCTGAGCACCACTGTCTTACACCTGACAGTAATAGTCAGCCTTGTTCTCAGACTGGAGCCCAGAGATGAGCAAAGTTGCCATGTCTGTGGAGGCATCATCTTAGGCTGGGGATCCCAGATCCCAGCTGGTTATTTGGTTCTGACCAGTAGTATGGGAAAAACCAGGCAGGGCTCCCTGGCTTCTGCTGGTACTAGTACCTGCTTTTGCCACAAAACCTGAAGTCCCTGCTCAGGGTGCAGCTGAGTTTGGGTTTTGTTCCCAGAGATGGAGAAGGGGAGTGGCTGGGTCAGCACAGGCTGGGACAGGGAGTCTGCAAACACAGACAGTCATGAGTGATGAGGCATTTAAGCTGGGAGTTTCTCAGTCTTAGGGGCTTATAATATCTGGGAGCTCACCCAGAACTTGATATTGCTCACATCTGAGCAGAGTGAAGCATGAGGAGAAGAGGAGTCCAGGCCATCATGGCACAGCTGCTGGTCTCCATTATGCAGCTGAGCTGCCTCGGGCTTTTCAAATCCATCCTACTGCCCCCAGAGAAGGAAAAGCCTGTTTTAAACAAATTTGTCCCCCCAGTGTAGATGCTCTTAGACTCCACAAGACTCCACATGATCACTAATTTAGGACTTAAGAGGTGATCACAGGACAGAGGAGGTTGAGGGTAGGGACTTCTCTGAGTGACACCCAAGAGGGTGTGGGGGGAGCAACTTTGGGAAGAACCACAGGACCCTCCCCTAGAGCTTCTCCCAGGCCCTGAGGGCACCAGGCTGCTGGGTCTCATCAGGGAGCACAAGGGGGCTGTTCAGCCTCTGGAGCCCTGAGGCCAGTGATGCCCCCTCAGCTGTGACGGTCTCCTGCAAGGCCCAGGGAGATGCAAAATGCCCCCTGCTGGTTCCATGTCCACCTGCGGGGTTGCCAGTGTCCTGAGGTCAAATTAATGTCTGCACCTGTGTCATCGGCATTCAATAGTTATGTGAACAACTATGTGAAGCACCGTGTTGGGTCTGATTGAAACAACATGGATACGCTGTTTGTGATTTGAGAGGCTGATGACATAGTGAAGAACATCATGGGCTCACAGACGAGAAAATCAAAACAGGGTAAGAAGATGCTCTAACCATGATGGAACGTGATTTCACAGAGTATCAAAACTGCTGGGTGACATTGTGCAGGGAACAGAAGGATGGACACAGCAGAGCAGGACTTAGGAAACTATGTGGTCAGGGAAGAGCAGCTGGGACAGGAAAACAGGAGGTGGAGACACAGGAGGCTGAGCTCACAGGAGACCCTGAGGACTGTGGAGCAGAAGGAACTCAGGGAGAGAAGGAGGAAGAGTATAGTGTGACCTGGGGGTTCCTGCTCCGACTGACCCATCAGATGGTGCTGCTGTTTACTGCAGGCAAGTATTAGGTAAGGAGACGGTTCTATATTAATAAAATAGTTGACAATCAGCAAAACAAGTAGAAATACTAAACCCAAGTGCTAAAATGGTCAACCATGACCTTGTGTGGCAGCAAAGAGTGACTGGCTGAGGCTGGTGTCCAGGCATGGTGAGCGGCCCCCAGTGCAGGGGTGGACGTGTAGGATGGACAGGAGCCTGGGACTGGGCTCTGAGCACCATCCCCATGTACAGAACAGGTAAGAGGAGTCCTGGATGCAGAGTCTGAGAATGGTGCCAGGCTGGCTCTGGTGCCCGTCTCTTCATCAGTCCTGTGGCATGAGTGTTAGTGACGTCCTACCTTCTGTTCTGGGTCCCAAGTGGTGAGCTGGGTGTATGTTTTGGTAATATCTGCACCTCCTTGTCTTTATCATGTAAATGCTCCAGGGAGCACAAGGACTGAGCCTACCCTGAAGTGTGTTTGGTGGAGATGTTTCCAGACTTTCACACCACAGGAGGAGCTAGGAGGAGCCATAAGGGTACATGAGTGTGGAGCACTGAAGGTCAGGCTGAAGTACCTAAGACAGGAGGAATCATGAAGAAGTGGGGATGGGGAAGAACCCAAACCTCACACCCACCTAAACATCCCCAGGACCTCCAACCAAGGGAGGCAGAACTACAAGCATGTTCTCATCCCCTTCAGCCATTAGGGGCTGGACAAGAAGTCCCAGTGCAGAGGGGACAGCAGGTTTTTGTCTCACTTCCCCACAGGCCTAGAGCACTGTGTCAGCAGACTGGCAGTAATAATCAGCCTCATCCTCAGCCTGGAGCCCACTGATGGTCAAAGAGCCTGAGTTGCCAGACTTGGAGCCAGAAAATCTGTCAGGGACCCCAGAGGGTCGATTGCTATTAGCATAGATGAGGGGTTTAGGGGCCTTTCCTGGGAGCTGTTGGTACCAGTTCACACCAACAATACCGATGTTGGTGCTGCTTCCGGTGCAGGAGATGGTGACCTTCTGGCCTAGGGCCCCAGTCACTGATGGAGGCTGAGTCAGCACAGACTGGGCCCAAGATCCTGGAAGTGGGAAAGAAAAAGAGACAGTGATGATGTGGTCTAGAGACAAGAGAAAGAATAAGGTCCCACGAGTCCTCCAAGGACCCCTTCTCCTATCCTTGCATAGAGTCACCTGTGCAGTGAATGAGGAGGGTGAGCAGGAGAGGGGACCAGGCCATGGTGGAGGTCATCACTGATCCTGCCTTCTGTGGGCCCACAGCTGAGCAGACCTCCCCTGATCTGTTCCTCCTCCTTTTCATCCTCTGAGAGAGGGAGGGCCCATCCATGCAAATGAGACCCTCAGCTCTCAGACACTTCGCTGGCCCTGGATCAGCTCACTCTACCTGAAGATATCAGGGGGATGGGCAAAGGAGTGGCTCCAGTGGGCTAGTGGGTGGGGAAGTCACAGCTGTGAGCCCTGAGCAGAGGGCACAGGCAGTGTCAGGTGGCAGATCCCAGCTCTGATCATCCTTGACCCTTCAGACAAGGTGATGCACACCCCCTGGTGTCCACACACAAACACTGCATTGTGTGACATGGTGACCAAAGCCCATCAGAGTTCTTGCCTCCCCACTGGTCTTTCAGGCCAGGCCAGGTGTTCCCTTATGTGGCCTCACATCACCTCAGGAGACACTGTGCTCTACTCAGTGAGTAGAATAGACATAGTGAGTCTCTCCATGGCTCCCATGGTGGTTTATGGGACAGGACTGGGGTAGTAACTCTTGTACAGCCACACAGATGGGGATCAGGGCCCGAGCAGTGACATGTCCACATTGACACATGGTCAGTTCTGTGCAGGAGGATGATTTCTTTCCTCTTCCCTGGTTCCTCTCTGGTTTCAGAGTTCTCTTTATTCAGAAGTTCCATCAGCACTGAGGAGTCAGGGAATCGCTCTCTCTAGATTGTAGGTAGAAGCCCTCGTGTGCATTCCTAGAGGGCTTACACACTGAACATCTTTGTCATCTGTCACTACCTTCACCTCTGTGAAACAACAGTTCTCCATACACTGTGGTTCATGATTCCCTCCTAGGATCTGTCCTCCCAGTACACAGACACAGTCTGCAGGAGCTTGTGTGTGACATTGACCTTAGAGCACAAAGGGCAAACCTGCAGGAAGTTCTAGGAGGGAAGGAGTGACAGCTCAGGTGCTCTGACAGGGACCTTGTTACAGAGTTTATGTGTCTGTCAACACTTAGACAACTGTTACCTTAAAATAAATGTGTGTGATTTTATACAAAATTCAGCCCTGTAGGAATGATTTAAGTGTACGGACAATGTCATTGTGAAGATGCAGGTACGTTCACCAGTGTATTTTCACAGGTTCGTGTGTATTGCTCAGAGAATATGGACTGAAATAGTAGTTGAAAAAACGGATGGCAAAATAAATGCCTTAGTCTAGTTCTGGTTTGAATAGGGGTCTATAAAGTTGTTTCTAAATTATTTGATGTATCATCATCATCATCATCATCATCTTGCATTTTATATAGTTGGTCTGATCCTGCAAGTAGAAGTAGGAGGGCCCAACATGGTGTCCAGGAAAATACCAAGAGAAACCTGTTTGTATGAACTTCAGAGTCATCTCAGTGATGGAATTACTGAACACAACTTCCAGGATGGATTGATTAGGGGTCAGACTTATCTCTGAGGTGTGCACTGGTCTGGACTATGTTTTTGTGCCCACTATGTTCAAGATAAATTGTTCATTCATCCACTCATGACTAGACATATGCATTTCTATCACTCAAGGCCAACTTGACCTAGAGGTTTCTGTCCAAGATCCCACATCTGAATCCAGGTGAGGTGGAGATAGGGACACTGTGTCCTTGAGGTCACAGGCCCTGTGATTGAAGGACAAACTTTTCAGCAGAGGTCCATCCTGGCTGGAGATGTTACTGGAATATTTGAGGGAGTGATGACACTGGTGAATGTTTGCTGGGCAGCAGATTCCTTTTAGACACAGTGTTTATTCCTGTTCATCTTCTCCAGACCCCTGGGGATGTGCAGTTGTGCTCTGATACCTCCTCACCCATCAGTGTCTTCCTAGGAGGCCCTGTGCTGTCTCACTTTACAGGCATAGCATGTGGATGTGTCTTTCTCTTTTCAAGAAGAGATCTTTCCACAGAAGAGTGCCCATAGCAGGTCTCCAGGTAAGTTTCTCAATGAAATGAGGCTCAGACACAAGGTCTGTAGACCAAGGGGATTTTGTCTGACTTCCTCATTATGTGAGACTGTGCATAAGTGTAGCTGCTGCCACTGCTATGTTCTGTTACACAGTAATAATGAACCTCATCCTCAGGCTGCAGCCCAGAGATGAGCAGAAGCCCCAATTGGCTGGGGCATCTTTGGATCCAGAGAAGCAGCTGGGGACCCCGGAGCCCTGGTTTTTATTTGAGTCTGAGTACAACCTAAGTAGACACGGAGGGAGGGATCCCAGCTTCTGGTACCCATATATGTGGTAGCCACAACACTTAAGCCGCTGCTGAGGGTACACGTGAGTCTGACAGGTGCTCCAAGAAGTGCAGACGAAGGGCGCCTGGGTCAGCACAGGCTGGGACAAGGAACTTGCAAATCCAGATACAGCAGAATGAAGAGAACAGACAAATTGCACTTGATTAGGTACCTAGGCCAGAAGGATTTGACTCAGGCTAGAAGCCCACCTTGGGGCATTGGGTCCTGTCCCTAACTGTGCAGTGACAAAGGAGCACAAGGAGGAAAAGGGTCCATGCCATGGTAAGATAACCGCTTCTTAGGCCACAGAGCTGGGGCTGGGCTGCCCTTGGTCTGTCTTATGCCCTTTCCAAAGGCCTCACAGAAGAGAAGAGCTTAGTTCTTAGACAACTAGAGTCTGAGGGAGAGTGTCAGGGTTTGTCCCATGAGAGGTGCAAAGGAAAAAACAACTAATGGGAACTGCCACTCACCTGAGAGCAGGACACTCTGCCCAGCCTGAGGGGAAACAGCTGCTGAGACCCTACTGACACACATGGGCACCAATGCCCCAGCTCTGGCAAATTTGGGGGATTACACAACAGATGAACCCCACTGTCCTGACTCTGAGGGAGGCCCACATTACCCGCTCCTGCCCACTAGTAAAATTACAGCACTGGGTGTAAATGATGTTGGTGTCAGTCAGACAGTCTGTTCACTGTCAATTCTCAAATACTCGTGTACTTGGGATGATCCAAGTTCCTGACATATATTGATTGATTTCTCAGATATAAAATCCTTTCCAAATGAATAGGTAATTTTTTATTCTACCACAGTGTTAATATTTTGTTTTGAGAAATTTTTACTTTACTTTACACTATTAAATTATGCACTAAAGCTGAAGAGGTGAAAAGTATGAGTATCTCAGACAACAGTAACACTCGAACTTTCCCACCTATTTCTCTCCTTCATGATCTTCATTGCATGCAGACTAGAAGCATCAGGCATGTGGAGCAGAGGTGCTATGGACCCAGCTCATGTCTGTACAGATGACGAAATGCTCAATATTAATTAGGTCTCTGTAATTAAATTAATAAATGAGAACAGGACTGTTAATGTCATTTGAATAAGAAGCTTCTCAGAGAGAACAATGAGGTCTCAGAGACTCAGTGCTTGTTCATGTATTTGGGAGGTGGACACCCTCCTCATCACCACCAGCAGAGAAGGAAAGAGGAAGCACAGTCTTGTAGGGTCACACTGGGAAATGGACTCACCCTGAGACAATGGGGATGGGAACACATGGCTATGAACCACCAGACAGGAGAATGGGGCCAAGGAGCTTGCCTTCCCATGGGTGATGTTGACTACTCCCTCTTAGTTTTCTCTCCTACCTCTAAAGGCTGAGCCAGGCTGAGCCCATGAGGAGGTTCATATTTCACTACTCCATAAATTTAGATCCTTGTGGAATGTCACTACCGACATACTTCATACAATGACAGTCAGCCACGTCCTGGGGCTACGCCTCTTAGATGTGAGTGTGGCTTTGATCCTAGAAATGGACTTGGAGAAGCCATCATGGAAATCAGATGAATATTTGCTTATCTGGTAGAAAAGGGTGCACAGAGCCCATTCCTGGGTCTGCTGGTATCAGCTGGGGTAGTTATTTGTAGAGATTAATCCAGAGCTAAAAGCACAGGTATTTGTGACCATCCCTCCTGGAGACACTGACAGTGATGTCTCCTTGGTCATCATAGTCTGAAAATACACCCCCAAATCCAGCAGGAGAGAATAGTATTTTTATGAGAGACAAAAGCCACTTGAGTCTGAAATCTTTAAGTGCAGAATGACTTTTCTCATGTCCTGGAGTGATTCCTAGGAAGTAAACTCTTCTTTGCTCACCCTCTGTTTTTTCCTGAAATGCGCCCCACAGACACATTATTGAGACAACAGTTAGGAGATGACTGTTTATGTTCATGAACTGATAAGTGGAAACGGGAGGAGGGAAAAGAGGGAGAGTGAAATTTGGGAAAAGAAATGACCCAAGACATAATATGGCATTAATGGATAGAGAAAGAACATTCCCGTGGGACACTGACAAGGAGAGTCCAAGTTAAGGAAACACCAGCAGAGCTCAGTTGTGACTCTTAATATCAGGTTTTGTGTCCCAGTTGGTCAGAGTCACAGTGGAATTAGAATCAGGCAGACTATGATCTCACTCCCTGTGACCAGGACCTTGTGAGGTGGGGACACTCAGCAATGACACAGAGGTGATCCAGGGAGCCTGGAGGAAGGAGCAGCCCCGAATGGAGTGTGGGGACAAAAGGAGTGGTTCCTGGACTGGCCCCTGAGTCTGTTCCTCACCTGACAGAGTAACAGCAAAGAAGAAGGTCTCAGGTGTGGGGTGGTCTGGAAATGTTTACCATTAAGGTATCTGGAAAACTTTTTCTTTCTAAAAACTTCTGGGAAGAGGAGGCCTTCATATCAGGAATATGTTTTATGTTTCTATTTCTCATAGGACTGCTTGCATTTCAGGTCAGAACCTCATGCCTTCGAGTGAGTATGTGTTGGGCTGGAGTTGATCAGGGTCAGGGGGCTGAGATGTAGTTTTATGAGACATAAAGACCCGGCCCTGTGTCCTATGTGCAGATTGTCCACAATCCATGCTCCAACCTGAATTACACAGAGGTTGGAAAGAAGATGATACAGATAGTGGGGACTTCTTTGGTGAAGCTTCCATCATTTTCTTCTTCTATTTGGACCCCAAATCTCCCAACTACATGGTTAGTCAGTGAGTCCAGGTCCCAGACAGTTACTGTGTTACCCAAAGCAATAGGTATCTCCTTCCTGGTTGCCATGATGGTGTCAGGGCAGATGGTGGGGTATTTGATCCAGTCATCCTGAAAACAAGGGTTCCTTATCAGTGGGTCAGTAAGGGCTAGTCTCTGTTATCCAGAGATTATGTTGTGTGGACATTACCTGGGCTTGCAGACACATTTTCCCCATGTGGGAAGTCAGTGTGAGACAAGATATGTTTTGTTTATGTGTCCTCTTTCTTTCCCAAGACAGTGTCAGCTTTCTGAGCATGTAGACCCTCCTGTCATTTCCACACTGTGATCTGAGCCTCAAGCCCACATAGGTCATGTAGTGAGGGTTTGGTCAATGCCGTACATGTATATCATGTGGACAGTTGACTATCCTGAGTCATACACAGCTATACTCTGTGTCCCTGGTTTGTTCCTGGGGCTTTGATATGCACTGACCTGTGTCCCCTCAGATTCCTGTATGGAGACCCTAACCCACATTGTGACTGTTTGAGATAAGACATCAAAGGATGTAAAAATGGATAAATGAGGTTATAAGGCTTGTGCCCTAACAAATAGGGCTGGTGTCTTTATAGAAGAGGTAGAGACACGATGGGTGAGCCACATGGAAATGCCACATGAGGACCCAGGAGGAATGTAGCCATCTGAAAGCCAAGTAGAGAAACTTCAGGGGAAACCAAATTGAAATCACAGTGAACTTGGACGTTAAACCTCCAGTACTGTGGGAAAATAAATATCTTTTGATTTACCCAGTCAGTGTGTGGTATGAAGTTATGGCAGCCCCAGCAGACAGGCACAATCCTCAGGGACTCTGTCCCAGGATAACCTCACAATATCCAGGAATTTCTGTTCAGTTTTCATAAAAGATAAAATGTGTGCCTACTAGGACAGGCTTTGGGGACAGAATTGAGAGGACAAGGACATATAATAGAGAAGGTTCATTGGGTTTGGTTTTGGGCCTCAGTTTTAGGCCAAACAAAAAAGAAAACTGCTGTCTTGGCAGAAGATAGGGGCTGCACAAAGAAAGCCCATCACTGTGGGGACAGCAGGTTTTTGCCTCACTTCCCCACAGGCCTGGAACTCTGTGGGACCACAAAGACTATTGTCCCATGTTACACAATAATAATCAGCCTCATCCTCAGCCTGTAGCCCTTGATGGTAAGGGAGGCTGAAGTGCCAGACTTGGAGCCAGAGAATCGATCAGGGACCCCTGATGGTCGGCTGCTCGTACCATAGATGATGGTTTTGAGGGCTGTTCCTGGGACTTGTTGGTACCAGCTCACAGAATTACCACCAATGTTGGAGCTTCTCCCAGTGCAGGATATGGTGACCTTCTGGCCCAGGGACCCTGACACCAAGAATGGCTGAGTCAGCCCAGACTGAGCCCAGGAACCTGAAAAGGGGAGAGACGCAGACAGGGTGATTCTGAGGTCTAGACACAAGAGGGTGGAAGCAGGGCCCACGAGTCCTCTCAGAGCCCCTTCCCCTGTCCCCCCATCTAGTCACCTGTGCAGTGAGTGAGGAGGGTGAGAAGGAGAAAGCACCAGGCCATGGTGGAGACCATCACCGATCCTGTCTTCTGTGGCCCCACAGCTGAGCAGACCTCCCTTAATCTGTCCCTTTTTCATCCACTTAGAGAGGGAAGACCCTTCCATGCAAATGAGGCTCCCTGATCTCTGATCTCTCACTGGCTCTGAGTCAAATCCCTCTGCCTGTGGATGTCAGGGGGCAGGCAGAGAAGTGGCTGTGTGGGGCCAGGTGGTGGGGAAGTCACAGCTATGAGTCTCAAGCAGAGGGCACAGACAGTGCAGGTGGTAGGTCTCAGGTCTCATCACCCCTGAACCCTCAGAAATAGGTCCTCTGAGCCCCCTGGTGTCCATATTCACCATTGTGTGAAATGGTAACCAGAGCCCACTTGAGAGAGCTCCTGTCCCCCATTGCTCTGCCCACTGCCCCATTACTAGGGCCAGGACGGGTATCCCTGTGGTAGCTTCTCATAAGCTCAAGCCAGACTTTAGCTCTACTCAGACTCTTCAGGAAGAGTCAGCCTATGTTTCCCTGTATGTTTTGTGGGTCAGGACTAAGGTGGTGTTTCTACAAAAATCCCACTTAGATCAGAATCATGTCCAGAGCAATGATTAGTACCAATGGAGATGTAGCCTCTTCTGTGTAGGATTCTGTGATCTTCCTTTATTCTGTTCTTCCTCCCTGGTTTCCAGATCTCTCCTGCTCTGAGCTTCCTGCAGTACTGAGGAGAGAAGGAGAGCTCCTGTTCAGGCTATGGGCAAGAGCAACTACGTGTATTCCTAGGGGCATTATGTACTAAAAATCTTTGTCGTGTTCATTACTTCTGCTTATTTTAAACAACAGTTCTCTACACACTATGGTTCATGATTCCCTCCCAGGATCTGTCCTCAAAGCACACAGACACAGTCTGCAGAAGCCCTGTGTGTGCCAGTGACCTCAGAGCACAAAGGGCAAACCTGCAAGAAGTTGTAGAGGGAAGGAGTGACAGCTGCAGGTGCTCTGACAGGGACTTTGTTGCAGACTTTATGTGTCCGTCACCACTTAGACAACTGTTGACTTAAAAATCAATGTAGGTGATTTTATACAAAAAAAAAATCAACTCAGGAAGAATGATTTAAACTCAATGATACTGTCAATAGGAAGATTACCAGTGTGTTTTCACAGATCTGTACTTACTGTAGAGAGAATATGGATTGAAATTGTAGTTGATAAAATGGATCATAAATAATGGAAATACATGACTTTTAGTTCATGGTTGAAAGGAGTCTCTAAACTTGTTTCTGAATCATTTTATTTATTATTTCTTTTAATCATCAGTTTGTATATTAGGTCTTGTCCTGCAATAAAAGTAAGAAAGTCCAAAATGGTGCCCAAGGAAACATCATGAGAAGCCTGGTCTTTTGAACTTTAGACCAATCTCAGCGATGGAATTGCCACACACAGAGCTTCCAGGATGGACTGACTAGAAGTCAAACCCATCTCAGGGGTGCAGAAAGCAATAGTCACTGTGTCTTGTGTCAAGCATGTTCAGGATAAAAAAAAAAAAAAGTTACTCATTTGTGACTAGAAGAATGAATTTTCATTACCCAAGGCCAAATTGAGCCAGAAAATTCTTTCAAACATCCCACATATGACTCCAGGTGGGGTAGAGATAAGGGAAACTGTGTCCCTGAGGTTACAGGCCCTGTGGTCCTGGGTTGGGACAGATGTTTCAGCATAGGTGCATCCTGGCTGGAAGTGTCACTGTAGGGTTGAGGGAGTGACAGCCCAGCCCTGAAAGAACCCAGCATGTATGTCTCTTGACCCCATAGGCCTGAGCTCTGTGGGAGCAACAATGAGACTGTTGTCCCAGAATCAATATACTGATCAGCCTCAAGCACTGACTGGAGTCCAGAGATATTCAGAAGCTGAGCTGTTCACTGGGATAGAGACTCACCAAGGGATTCCTAAACATCAGCCTCCTGCCAGGGAAGCTGGTGTTCCTGGCACATCTTACCGTGGTGACAGGACCCCAGTGACACTCAATGTCACTGAGTTTCCAGCTGATGGGGATTCTACTTCCTAGATTGTGATGCTGAGGACACCTGGGTGAGTGCAGGTTGGCTTATGGTGGGACAAGAGAAGGCTGGGAATTGCAGAGTCCAGGACACTATACACTCATAGAGATGAGGGGTGTGTGTGTGTGTGTGTGTGTGTCCCAAAATGAGGCCAGGTAGACCTTTCTTCCCCTTAGGCTTCTACACTCACTGAAGGAGGGCTTTCTTTCTGAAGATTCTGCATTTAAAACTCAGTGTCTTAAACACCATTTCTGCTGGAGGAAGATTTATTAGGCAATTAGGTCACCTTTGAAAGCAGATGGGTTAACACTTCCCTGTATTCTGGTCATTCTCCCTAGAGATGGATCCTGGAGACTGGAAAATGAAGCAGGATTACTTTCAAATTTCTCTGAAATCCTGATGTGAATACACAGTTAAGACCTGAAGAGCCAGGGGGAGATACTGACCCTGAGGGACACAGGAACAGAGGGGAGAAGAGGAGGGAGGGTGTGTGTGTATGGGGGTGTTGTCAGGGAGAGTCTGTAGAGTCTGGTCCAGGTTCACATGTAGCTGGTTCAGAGAGAGGAGATTGTGTCTGTTACCAAGATTACTGTCAATATATCAACTGTGGATACATGGATATATCAGTAATGACAAGAGGTCACACTTTATGGGACACAGTGGTAACAATGACATGTCGAAGAATGTTTGCTGTGCAACAGGTTTAGTTGCATACACAGTGTTTATACCTGTTCATTGTCCAGACCCCATGATGATGTGCAGTTGGGCTGTGTTATGTCATTCACAGCTTCCTCCTGGGATGCTGTGCTGTCCCACTTTACAGGCATAATCTAGGTATTTCTGTGTCCTCTATTCAGGGATAGACCTTCCTATAGTTATGAAACCTTTGGAAGTGTGTCCATGTAAGTTTCTCAGTGAAAAGATATTGAGGCTAAGGTCTGTGGGCCCAGAGATCCTGTATCACGTCCTCCTTATCTTAGGCACTGTTAATAAAGACATCCACTCAGACTGTCATGAGCTGGAGCACAGTAATAGTCAGCCTCATCCTCAGGCTACAGCCCTGACATGAGCAAATTGCTGTATCAGTGGAGGCATCTTTCAGTCCAGACACATGACTGGGGACCCCAGGTACCATCTGCTTGTATGAATCTGAGCAGTAGGGCAGGAAAGACCAGGGAAACTCCCTGCCTTCTGCTGGTACCAGAAGGTGTTATACCAAACAAGACTCCTGGCCCAGCCTAGGGTGCAGGTAAGTCTGGCAGTTGTTCCTGGAGATGCAGAGACGGAGGGTGGCTGGATTAGCATAGGCTGGAACATGTAACCTGCAAACACAGACACTCATAGGTGATGGGGAATTGAAGCTGGAAGTTTCTTGGTCTTATGGACTGAGAATGTCTTGCTGCTCACCCAGCAAGCAGTGTGATATTGACCCTACCTGAGCAGAGAGGGAGGGGCAGAAGGAGGACAGTATTCCAGTCCATGTGGATACAGCCCCTAACCTCCACAGTTGGGTTGGGTTGTCCCAAGCTTGTCTAATTGGCTTAGGGTCTCCAGGAAATGATGGAAGTGTTTATGCAAATTTGTACCCCCTTCAGACTCTCTCAGACTCCACGTGATCACTGATTCAGGAGCTGAGGGGACCTTGGAGAGAAGAGGGAAAGGGCTGGGCCTGTTCCTAATGGAACGCAGAGGGAGTGGAGGGAGCAGCTTTGAGAAGAACCACAGGATCCTGACCAGGAAACTCCCAGGCTGCTAGGTCTCATCAGGGAGCACAGGGGCAGGTCAGCCTTTGCCCAACCGTGAGTCCACAGGGATCTCCCAGCCATGAGGGTCCTCCTGCAGGGCCCTGGGAGACGCCTTGTGCCCGGTGCTGGTACCATGTCCACCCGGGGGTTCTTCAGTGTCCTGAGGTTAATGTCCACACCTGTGTCAGCAGAGTCCAGCTGTGCCCTGTTAACTGGGAAGCACCATGTAGGGTCTGATTGAAACAACATGGATACACTGTGATGTGAGAGGCTGACAAGATAGTGGAGAACATTTGTGGTCAAGGGAAGAACAACTGAGACAGGAAAACAAAAGGTGGAGACAGAGGAGGCTGTGCTCACAGGAGATGCTCAGGACTGTGGAGCAGAAGGAACTCAGGGAGAGAAGGAGGAAGAGGATACTGTGAACTAGGGGTTCCTGTTCTGACTGACCCATCAGATGGTGCTGCCGTTTACAGCAGGTGAGCATTAGATAAGGAGATGGTTCCGTATTAGTAAAATAGTTGAAGATCTGGGAAGCAAGTAGGAACACTGAATTCCAAGTGCAGAAACTGTGGATTCTGACTGTGTGTGGCAGCAAGCAGTGACTGTGGCTGAGGCTGTGTCCACACGTGGGGAGCAGTGTGGGTGTGGACGTGTAGGAAGGACAAGTGCTGGGACAGAACCCTGGGCACCATCCCCATGTACAGATGGGTGAGAGGAGTCGTGAAGGCAGAGTCCCTCAGTCCAGCCTGTCTCTGGGCTCAGTCCCTTCATCTTTCCTGTGGCGTGTGTGTTAGTGACGCCCTATCCCCTTCTCAGGGTCCCATTAGGGATCTGTATATATTTTTGACACAACAGTGCCTGTTTTTCTTTCCATGTAGATATGTCAGGGAGGGCTGAGGACAGTGACAATGTGTTTGTTGGTGAGCTCAGGTTTCCTCATGAAGGGACATGAGTGTGAGTATCCGATCAGACTGTAGTGCCTGGAACGATGGGTATCACAAAGAAGTGGATATGGAGAAAACCCAGAACCTCTCACCCCACCTGCACACTCCAGGCCTCCAACTACAGGGAGGCAGATCCACAGGATCTCTCTCATCCTTCTAAATTCCCAGAGGAGGAACACCTCATTCTTGTCACTACCCACACCCCCACCTCCTCTTCCTGGTGTGTGTCTTGTAGAGTGGGCTGGAAGGACCCATCTGAGTCCTTGGGTCCTTATGGTAATTACAGAGGGGTGTCCTGCAATTATGATAAGACTCCAAATGCAGGTATGTCAGGTCTGTCTGCAATATTTATTAAGGAGAGGCTTAGAATCACCCCCACCAAAATATGATCTTCCACTCCTGAGGGAATGGCTTCCACCGTCTGTGGACATTGACTTCACTTTTTATTTGGAGTGCCTAGCTCAGAAACATCACAATTATTGACCACTCAGCCCATGACCCAGATCAATCAATTGCACTTTGAGACTCAGGTATGGGTTCTTTGTCTCTCGACATACAGTCTCTTTTCCTTTTCAGAGTTTCTTCCTCTTCCCTGATTCCTCTCTGGTTTCAGAGTTCTCCTTTCTCAGAAGTCCCCTGAGCACTGAGGAGACAGGGAGCCCTTCTCTCTAAGTTGTGGGTAAAATTCCTCATGTGCATTCCTAGAAGGGTTAAGCCCTAAAAGCCTTGGTCATCTGCCTCTATTTCTACCAGCTTAGAAAACAGTCCTCCACACACTGTGCTCACTGAGTCCCTTCTGGTATCTGTTCTGCAAGCACATAGACCCAATTCTGCAAGAGCCCTGACAAGTGAGGCTATGTATGGCAGAAACCTACGAGCACTAAGGACAAACCTGCAGGAAGTTCTAGGAGGGAAGGAGTGACAGCTGCAGGTGCTCGGACAGGGACCGCGTTGCAGACTTTTGGTGTCTGTTACCACTTGGACAACTGTTGACTTAAAATAAATGTGCATGATTTTAAACAAAAAAATCATCTCAGGAAGAATGATTTAAACTCAATGACACTGGCAATGGGAAGATGCAGGTACAGTCATGAGTACATTTTCACAGATCCGTGTTACTGTAGAGAGAATAAGAATTTAAATAATAGTTGAAAATGGATGAAAAAATAATAGAAAAGATATGAGTTTTAATTTTTTTTTACGTTTTTATTTTATCTTAAGAGAGAGACTGAGTGTGAGCAGGAGACAGGCAGAGAGAGAAGGAGACACAGAATCTAAAGCAGGCTCCAGGCTTTGAGCTGTCTGCACAGAGCCTGATGCAGGGCTCGAAATCATGGACTGTGAGATCATGACCAGAGCTGAAGTCAAATGCTTACCTGACTGAGCCACCAAGGTGCTACAAAGATATAATTTTTAGTTTTTGGTTGAAAACCCACAGTGTGTGCCTCATGTCCTCCCGAGCCTTGAGCTCCGTGGGAGCAACACTGAGGTTGTTGTTCCAGAATCAGTGCATTGATCAGCCTCAGGCACTAACTGGAGCCCAGAGATGCCCAGGGGTTTGGTTGCCCATGGGGACAGAGACTCCTCCTGAGCATAACTCATCCCAGAAGAACAACTGTTCTTGGCATATCCTGCCCTGGTGATAGGAACCCAGTTACACTAAATGTCACAGGATTTCCTACTCATGAGGATTCTACTACCTGGACTGTGACGCTGATGAAGGCTGGGTGAGCACAAGATGACTATAACGCTTAGGGCCACAGAAAAGTCTGGAAAGTGTGAAGTCCAGGACACTATACACTAGCTCATGTTGGACAAAGCAAGAAAGAATACCCAGTGGGAAAAGACAGTGTCTTGAACAAATGCTGTGAGGTGAGCCGGACAGCAACATGCAGAAGAATGATTGGACCACGTTCTTACACCATATACAAAAATAAATTCAAAATGGATGAAAGACCTAAGTGTAAGACAGGGAACCATCAGAATTAAAGAGAAGAACACAGACAGTAACCTGTTGACCTCAGCCATAGCAACCTCTTACTAGAACTGCAGCACACAAGGGCAGGCCTCCTCTAAATGGGCCACTTTGGCATGAAGATTATCATGAGTTAAAAAGCAGTTGAAGCCCAGCACACTCAGGAAAAGCTCTTCATGTCTCCTCAACCGACTAAAAGAACTTAGGGGGAGCACCTTCTCTGGGAAGAGAGCTGGCACCACAGACAGCTGCACGAGGGTGTGAACCAGGTGGGGCAGATGGGGCGACCCTGCAAAATCTGTTTGGTCAGAGTCCTCTGTGTCCCACTGTTTCCCAGAGGCCCTGCCCACATTTTTTACCCATCATCTACTCTTCTTCTTCTGTCTGCGAAGTGCATTTCTTTGAGTTGATTAAGGTACCCCTACCTCCTTCCACGTAGTTCAGGAAACATGGACCTCGTTTGCCTGAGTGTCTTTGGAATTTCCATGTGTGTGTGGATTCCTTATATGTACACTATTAAACTTTATTTCCTCCTATTAATCTGAGTCATGACACTGATTCTTTGTCCAGCTAAAAAGAATTTGAAATAGACAAGACACTCCTGTTTCACAACAGTAGTAAATGAGAGGAAACAAGAAGGAAATCCTGAGGTTTTTCCTTTAAAACCATTATAAGTTGTTCGTGTTCTCCAGACCATGGGGCGTGTGTGGTTGGGCTCTATTCTCTGATTTGCCTGTGCTCCTGGGACCATTGTGCTGTTTCAGGCAACAACATAATCTGTGTTTCACTCCTTCCTCCACAAGGACAGGTCTCACCATAAAGAACTCTTCCCTGCAAGAGCCTACACAGAAGCTTCTCAATAAAAGAGGCTCAGAGACAAGGTCTGTGGGGCCAGGGGATTTTGTCTCACTTCCTCCTTATCTGAGACACTGTGAATAATGATAGTTGCCCCCACTGCCAGGATATATAGCACAGTAGTAGTCATCCTCATCCTCAGGCTGCAGCCCAGAGATGAGCAGAAGCTCTGCATTGGCCAAGGCATCTTTGGACCCCAGATCCCAACTGTGTACTTGAGTCTGAGTAGTAATACAAGAGATACCAGGGAGGGCTCCCTGGCTTCTGCTGGTACCAGTATATGGAATAGCTTCCCACATTGAAGCCACTGCTCAGGGTGCAGGTGAGCCTGGCTGTTGTTCCTGGAGATGCAGAGAGGGAGGGTGGCTGAGTCGCCACAGGCTGGGACAGGGAACCTGCCAACACAGACACTTGTCACTGATGTAACCAGAAATGGGGGGAAATGTCCCAAAATACTGAGCATGGGAAGAGTCTTTGAGGCCACCCTGTGTCCTTGAGGCCAGTTCCTACCTGTGCAGTGAGACAGGAGTGTAAGGAGGAGAGGAGTCCAAGCCATGGTGACATAGACCCCAGTACCCACACTGGGCTCAGCTGCCCCAGGCCTCCTTTTCTCCTCCACCCTCTGCCACAGGAGGAGCTGTCCATGCAAATGAGGTCCATCTAGTGACTGCCCAGACCCTCCCTGAGCCCTGGGGCTTCAGCTCAGCTGAAGGACACACATGGGGACAAAGGATGTTGGCTTCACCACTGAGGAGACCCCTGGGAGGAAGCAACTGCAGATACAACACACAGGTCCTTGCTCAGAGGACCTTGCCACAGCAGAAAGGACACAGATGGTGAGTTCCTATCAGGGATCACAGAGCCCAGTCACCAGTCCCAGGCTCTGAACAGCTGTGAAGAGACCACAGGGCAGTCCCACAGCGCCCCCTCCTGGCTGATGGTGACATACCTCACTGTGTCCCACAGCCCTGGGAGCCCAGCTCATTTCTTCAGCTCTGTTTAGTCACACATCATTGAGCTGAATGGTGGATGATGTGATCCTATACTGTTGCCTGTAATGAATGTAGCATTTTTCAATCTTCAAAGAGGTCCTGGTTTAGAGGATTTGGAGGAATTTATCTCAATTAAATGGCAAATTGTCGATTCCTTGCAGAAGATACTGGGATCATGTCCCTCCTGTGGCATACCGTTGAGAATATGTCTGTCCTGTGAATGTTTTAACACTCCTGTGCATTAAAGCAATGCATTCCAGCTGCTGTCCATGAAATTGAGTATTATGTTAATCTTCTATATTTTTATGTAATTTCACTGGCTTAATAACTTACAAAGAAAAAGAAAAACAATGAATTTCTATTTGATGAAGTCCTATTTAACAAGTGCCATTTTTTTATTTTTTTATGGGTTGTCATGACAGTACCTTGTCTAAATATTTTCAGAAAAATACTAGATCCTGAAGATTATCTCCTTTTTTTTTATGTTTATAGCTTTATGTTTTGCAGTTATGTCTATAGTCCTTTTAGTGATTTTATAAACATATATAAAGTGAATTTTAAGTATGATTTATTTATTTCTATGGACGCCCAATTGTTCTCTGCCCATTTGTCCAAAAGTCCATCCTTTCTCCTCTGAAAGTCTTCTTCAAATTTGTGGAAAAACAAAATTGTTTGTCCTTCCCTCTGTGGGTCTGTTTCTGGGTTTTATGTCCTGTTACATTGGCCGATGTGCCTACCTCTATCTGTTTCGCTCTGTCTTGCTAGGACAGGAACTGAATTACACGTTCATACAATTTGGGAAGAACTGACATATTTACTATAATGAGACTTCTAATCTATGAACAGAACATATCTTTCCATTGTTTTAGATCCACTTTGATTATATTTACCAGCATTGTCCAGTTTACGACATCAGTGGCCTATAACTTGTTTTGTTAAATATGCATCTAAGTATTTCATCGAGTGGTTTTAAGGGTATTTTTCTTATTTTTACCTGTTCACTGCTAGCCTATACACATCTACAAGATCTTTCTATGTTGAACTTTATTCTAAAATGTTTCCAAAATTACTTACTACTCCTTCAATTTATATCGTTGCATTCCTAATTGTAGCTTCCTTTGTATTTTACCTGTAAGTCACTCTCTCACCTGAAATGGGACAACTGTCTCTTGTTTTCCTCATCTGTATGCCTCTCACTGTTTGTCCTGACTTCTGGTTCTGTCAGTAACATCAAGTCATCTGCCAAACAGCAGGGTTGACATTACACATGATGGCCTTGTTCCCTACTGTGGGGGCCAAAGCTTTCAGTGCTGCTCCTCCCCGTGAGTTAACTGAAGGTGTTTTATGGTTTTCTTTATCAAACTGAAGATTTACTGCTCCATAGTTTGTTCTCTGAAAACTTGTATCACTCTCATTCATATATTCATTCATTCTTGTCAATTATCACAAATAGGTTTAGAACTGTATAGGAAGTGAAAGATAATGAAATCTACCTGAGAGGGTGAGGGAGACCTTTTAATCTGTCTTTTTTAAAATTTTTAATCCTTATTTATAATTGAGAGAGAGAGACAGGCTGAGACATGAAAGACAGAGCACAATTGAGGAAGTGCAGAGAGAGAGAGGGAGACTGAATCTGAAGCAGGCTCCATGGTTCTGAGCTGTGGGCAGAGAGCCCAATGTAGAGCTCAAACTCAGTAGCCTTGAGATCATGACCTGAACTGAAGTCAGACATTTAACCAACTGATCCACTCTTGGGCTGCTCATCTGTCACTTAATAGTTTGGCTGTTACCACATGGATTTATTTCTACTTCTACTTTGGTGCCAAAGAGACAAGGCAGTAGGCCTGTTGATAGAGATACCAACCCAATCATCCAATATGAGGATAAGTGAGAGGATAATTATGATATAGAATAAATGTCATTTACTCTCTCCCTTACCCTGCTGGGTTCATCACTTCCTTATACTCACTATCCCTCTTCACTTTTGTAAAATCCTGAGTCATCATTACATTTATCACAATCCATCCCATATGAGGTCTGTCCCTGTCTGTAGTGAATAGTCAGACTTTCCTCAATGTCCCTGAAGTTAGAAAGTATGTTCCATCCAGACTCCACACTGGAAAATAAAACCTAGAACATAAGTTTTTTTTTAATGCATATTATGACCTTTTTTTTTTTTTTTACAAATAGTTTATTGTCAACTTGGATTCCATATAACACTCAGTGCTCATCCCAACAAGTGCCCTCCTCCATGCATATCTCCCCCCTCACCCCCCACACCCATCAGTCCTCAGTTTGTTCTCAGTATTCAAGAGTCTTTCATGGTTGCCTCACTCCCTCTCCCCCACTATTTCCCCCATTCTTCTCTCCCTTGGTCCTCCATTAAGTTCCTCCTAATCCTCCTATACTTGCAATCATGCGGTATTTGTCTTTCTCTGCCTGACTTATTTTGCTCAGCATAACACCCTTAAGGTCCATCCATGTTGCTACACATGGCCAGATTTCATTCTTTCTCTTTGCCATGTAGTATTCCATTGTATAGGTAAACCACATCTTCTTGATCCATTCGTCCGTTGATGGACACTTAGGCTCTTTCCATGGTTTGGCTATTGTTGAGAGTGCTGCTGTGAACATTGGGGTCCATGTGCTCCTATGCATCAACACTCTTCTATCCCTTGGGTAGATTCCTAGCATGCTATTGGTGGGTCATAGGGGAGCTCTATTGTTACTTTCCTGAGGAACCTCCACACTGTTTTCCAGAGGGGCTGCACCAGTTTGCATTCCCACCAACAGTGTATGAGGGTGCCCGTTTCTCCACATCCTCACCAGCATCTAGAGTTCTCTGATTTGCTCATTTTAACCACTCTGACTGGCGTGAGGTGGTCTCAGTGTGGTTTTAGCCGGGAGCCACACCGGCCTCTATGGATGGCAGTCACAGCAAGGAAATGGCAGTGTTTGCACAGCTACTACCATGAGAAATGAAAACTGGTATCTCCTGCTACTACTGGCTCGTGTTGTGCTGGTATTGACCAGGCCTCACAATATTCTATATCAGACCAATATTCTGAACACAGATACCTCATAAGGAAAAGCATATTCCTGCCTTTACAAGAGAGATTTTAGATGAAAGGTCTATGGATGCTTGTCAAAAGGCTCTTCCTAAGGGCCTTGCAGATCCAAGACTTAGAGGGTTAAGAACACAAGAATTACAACTGAGCCTGGCCCCTAGACAAAGAGCCTAATTTAGAGTTAAGGTACAGATAAGGGCAGAACTTAAGTTAATACTTACACCTTCTCCTCATTGGTGATGTATGGCAGTCCCTTCCCCAAGGCCTACTTTCTGCAAACACCCTCCCTTACAGGTGGCTAGGATGAGGATAGATAAGAGTAGCTAAAGCATTACCCACAAACAAAAGGCTGACACATTTAAGGCCTCCATGGTGTTCACACATTCAGCATCAAATAGGTTTCCACAAACAACTTATTAACCAACTCAGAAACATTCATTTGAGAGCCAGACAGAATGACTCTTAGCCCATCTATACACTTAACCTATGACCTAACCTTAGCGCGATTAACTTAGAACAAATATGTATCCTGTCTTTTACTAAGAATACCCTGCTAAATCTTTAGTTATAAGATTTACTTAACCTCACTATAATTGGAATAGTTCTGCAAGAATATTTCTGTAAAACCTGCTTCTGTACACTTTCCAAAGCATCTTATCACAAAGAGTTATCCATTGTAAAAATTCCTTTTTCTGATGTCATGTTATCATTTAACCTATAAATAAAGACACCAAAACTGACAGGACAGAGATGCCTGCCTGGTGATCAGAAGGAATCTCGGGGCTCTCTCATTCTCTTTCGCCAACACCGTCCATCCTTCAGGGACCCCTGGACCTGTCCGAGCCGGCGCGGCCTCCGGCAGGTTTTGATTTGTATTTCCCTGATGAGGAGGGATGCTGAGCATCATTTCATGTGTCTCTTGGCCATCTGGATGTCCTCTTTGGAGAAGTGTCTGTTCATATCTTCTGCCCATTTCTTCACTGGGTTGTTTGTTTTTCGGGTGTGGAGTTTGGTGAGTTCCTTATAGATTTTGAATATTAACCCTTTATCTGATATGTCCTTTGCAACTATCTTTTCCCATTCTGTTGGTTGCCTATTAGTTTTATGGATTGTTTCCTCTGTCGAACAGAAGCTTTTAATCTTGATGAGGTCCCAACAGTTTATTTTTGCTGATTCCCTTGCTTTTGGGGATGTGTCAAGTAAGAAATTGCTGCGGTGGAGGTCAAGGAGGTTGTTTCCTGCTTTCTCCTCTAGGGTTTTGATGGTTTCCTGTCTCATGTTCAGGTCCTTTATCAATTTTGAGTTTATTTTGGTGTATGGTGTGGAAAAATTATCTAGTTTCATTCTTCTGCATGTTGCTGTCCAGTTCTCCCAACACCATCTGTTAAAAAGGCTGTCTTTTTTCCATTGGATATTCTTTCCTGCTTTGTCAAAGATTAGTTGGCTATAGATATAGATTCTGGCAAGATGGCGGAGAAGTAGGAAGCTCCGTACTT